GCTCAGCCATGGTTTCCACAGGTTCTGCAGCTCCAACTTACCCCTCCATTTCCTTTTCCTCTGACTTCATCCCTTCTTTGTCAACCTCAGTCACCTCTGTCTTTATGCCTGTTTTTTATCTGGTCCTTGGCGAGAAGATCCAGCTTGTCCTGACAGGTAGCTTTTTTTCTGGCTCGTTCCATTTGCCCTTCCTCCATGGAAGTTTATCAATGCAAATGGAACGTTTTCTGACATTGGTCTCTGGGTTGAGGTTTTTCCCCTGCTCCTCCCACTGTTCCTTGTATTGCAGATTTCCTCACTTGGCTTTTTGATCATGCAGGCTTGTCCCACATCTTTCGTTCTTCCTTATACCATAGGGTGTTTACCTCTCCTACTCTTTCCCTGTTGATGCGTTCCTTCCAGATTCATCATTTGCTGTGACGGGCTGCCCTTCTGGATTGGGATGTTAATGTGGTTCTTCACGGCCTCTCTTTGCCTCTGTTCAAACCATTTTCCATGTGCTCCTTGTTTCACCTTTCCCTTAAGACTTATTTCCTTCTCCTCTTAGCCTGTGGTCATCAAAGGTCTGATTTATTTGCCATCAATGTTTCACATACTCTTTATAATTCTAGATATCTTCTCCTTTATCCAGATCATTCTTTCCTCCCCTAAACTTTGGTGGCTCATGAGGGTTACTCCTCCTTTTTACTAATTTCCCTTCCTTTCATTTCCCACCTTTATCTATGGCCTGATCCGGATAGACTTCTATGTCCTGTACATGCTTTTTGCTGTTATGTTGCCTGCATGGCTTTCTTCCATGGTGCTCGTTCCCACATCTTTATTCCTTGGCAGTTGTCCTCTGTTCGTGATCTTTCTCCTTCCACCCTCACCAGTTGGTTTTGGCTTTTAATTCGATTGGTTTATTCCTCTTTATCATCTTCCTCCTGTTCTTGGTTGTGGGTGTCTTCTCATGAAATTCAACACCTTACCTTTTCATTGGTTTCTCATCTCCATCGTCCCTTGGAGGAAATTCTTCAATCGGGCATGCGGACTACCCTTAATATGTTTGTATCTCTCTATTTGCATAGGATCTCAGTTTCTTCCTCTTTGGCCATTCGCCTGTAGTCATTTTTCAAACTTCAGTGAGACTTTGACTGGGTAAATTATTTTTTATTATTCTTTATTTATTTTCAGGGCCTTTTTCCCTTTTTATTATTACTCATTGTTTGAATCCTGCTCTGTGGTGAGAGATGCCTGACCAGTTATTCTTTAACTGATCAAATCTACACTGTAAGGCCATGTCAACTTATATATTATATTTTCATGGCCACACAATGCACACTGCACAGATGGGGTGTTCCATGAGATTGCTTGTAGGTTTATCCTCGCAATGGAATTGCTTAAGAAATTTGCCCATCCCGGACCGTACTCACCCATGGATTACATGGGTAAAGCAGAAGTCAATATCTACCCATCCCTGCTATACCTTTATTGAATAAATTGGTATGGTCTGCTTTTAAAA